CCGAGCTTCGGCGCCGCGACCCGAATGCGATGCCAGGTAACCAGTTTCCAACCGCACATTTTGCCTTACAGCGTGTAAATAGAGTAGCTTCCGACTGACATGGGATATTTCACTTTTCACACAGAACCAACACCGGCGCCGCAAGACGCCAAACCGACCAGCCCTGCACCGGCAACGACAAGCGCAGCGGCAGCAGCATTCTCCACGCCGACGGAGTGCAGCACGGAGCGCCACAAGTCCACGACCGTCTGCCCCTTCAGCTCCCTGGGGCCCAACAGCTTCACGCGGCTCCCGTGCACGCCGACGGTGGTGACGGACCTCGTGTGCGCCGCCACCAACGTGTGCCTCGAGGACGGGCTCTGCGTCTTCCGCGACGACCACCTCACGGCCAGCGGCCTCGTCGCCACCATCCTGCTCGCGGCCGCCTTCGTCGTCACCTTCGGCGCCGTCCTCGTCTTCTGGGTGCGCGAGAAGCGCGACCTGCGCAAGAAGAGGCTCGTCGCCGAGAGGAGGAAGATCGAGCACGAGTCCCTCCTCCACGCGCAGAAGAGGAGTGACAGCAGTGGCGGCGGTGGGGGTGGGAGTGGGAGTGGGAGCGCGCAGCAAGGTGGAGCGGAAGAGCCGTATGATCCCCATAACCCGTTTGTCGACGGTCATTGAGTTGGAGGAAAGACTTTCTGGACTGGAGAAAAGCCCATATTTTCGCCTTTTCTTGCTTGACTTTAAAAAAGCTCAACTCCTTCCCTTCCTGCTTTTGGGCGGTGACGGCAGCGGCAAGGGGCGGGCTTTACAAAACCATGCCATCTCCATTTCCAACTTCCTATATGCTGCCCAATTGTTTGACTTGAAAGAGAAAGAAGGTTCTATACAATATTCGTAGGAAGCTCGTGTCCGGTCAGGTCTAGGTTAACCTTAGGTAGTTTGCATCCATAGGCCTTTCCTGTCCATCGGCATCCTAACCTAGGAAGAAGTCACGCGTCAAACTCTCTTCTCGGCCATGAAAATCAGTAACCTAGATACTGTTCGGAGGGAGGGGCCGAAGAAAACGAACAACAGATCTCCATGCCAAACCCGGTCCATGAGCCGTGACTGTATCTACTGTACTGTACTGTACTCTTCTTTCTCTCGGCCTGCTGCGAGCGACGAATATCCCTCCCTCCGGGACAGATCAAATTGTGTTCCGTGGGGTGATCGACCGATGATTAGCTTCTTCCTCTTTATAACAAATAACCTCCGCCTTCCCTGTTCAGTTCGAAACGGGATCGTCTTGATGCTAGAGTGTCGGCCCGATCCAGAAACGTCTCTCGAGTCAGTCTTTTATAGAGTTATCTCCACTGGCGTGGGACATAGATCGTCTTCACATTGGAGCACCAAGACGTGGTTGCGTCATAATCATTAACTTTTTAAGACTTCTCTAGTAGTAACATAGTAGTAGTAACAGAAGGATCCCTAGTGGTAGAACAGTAGCTTGGCCAAACCACAAACCATGCCCGAACAGATGCATCGAAATATGTACGTGAAGGGAACAGCGAGGATATAAAAGGAGAAAATGGCCGTGAGGCAGGTACAAGATGCCTCCTTTGGGATCGGGGGCAATGCAAAAGTTACAGAGATCGAAGGTGGAGAAGAAAAAGGCGACACAAGACAGCCCAGCTATCCCCGTCGCCGATTCTGTCACGTCTAACCATCGAGTCATTCTAAATTCCCATCCAGATCCTAAAACATCATACAAAGAACAAGCAACGAAGCCCCTTTAACGAATAGGGTGGTGTTTCTGAAAGGCCCAAAAGGGCTAAGTAGGCGGCAGTAGCACTGGTCGAGTGCGTCGACTGGACTTTAAACGACGGGTGTGGCGACAGTCGAGCCCGGAAGTCCACGGGAGTAGCTCATGAAGACGAGAGCGAGGAAGAAGAGAGCGGAGCAGATGACACCGAGCTTGAAGCCGGCGGGATTGCTTCGGCGCACCTCGTTGAATGTCAGCCTAGCATCGGTGCTCATTTGCTGCAGCTTCTCAGGGCCAAGCTTGTAGTAGACGAGGCCAGCAAGGGCAATGGAGTAGCCGAAATATTGCTGGAGGGTAACCGGGTCGCCGAAAATGGCCATCGAAGCAACGACGAGCAGGATATCCTTCAGGACACCAGACATGGTCAGGACGACAGCATTGGTTTTGCCAATCTGTTTCAAGCGTGTTAGATCATCACAGACAAGCATCGAGCCTTCAAATCACAGGGCTTAACATACCAGTAGGACGACGGAAACATTCAGGAGGAAGGCGACGAATGCATTGGCAATGAGGGTGATGAGTCCAACTTGGAGAATGTCGCCCATGGTCATGCGGGGCAGTTCAATGAAGAGGGTGAAGAAGCCATTGATGACAGCGCAGGCAGGAGCATAATCTACAGAATCGCATTAGTGGTGTTCTTGCAAAGCCGACGTTTTTAAGCAAGACTGATGCCTTGTGGCCAGTCAGGCATGGGTGCGAGTAGTCAGGGGCTCCTTACAGTAGACAGAAACCAAAGGATCCATCTTGAACTCGTCAGAGCTGAGCAGACGCTGGACCATAACAAGGCGCAGCGCCTCGCACACAATACCGGTAACCTGGACTGTTTGGGAGTCAGTTACATCCGCTAGACCGAACTATAAAGGGGTAGGCTCTCCGTACTGATGAATCCTAGGCCGTCAAACTTCAGCTCGCCAAAAGAGGCGATGGCAACGCCAATGACGATGGCAGAAACATTGAGCAGCTTGTTCAAGCTGGGAGCAGCCATGCCGAAGGCCCAGGTGGCGAGCAGGGTGGCCACGGCATTGGTAGCCTTGAGCATCTGAATGAAAGACACACTCAGGTACAGATAGGCAAAGTTACCGAAGATCAAGCTCAGACTGAACATGATGCCGATGGGGACAATGGCCTTCATGTACGTGTTGGTATTCATGGGCACCTTGTGACGCGAATCGAGCGTTGTCGTGAACTTGGCCATGACCTGCGTCATGAACGTGGCGAAGACCATGTGCCATGTTGTCAAGAACAGGGCTGCAAGAAACCAATGTTAGAACCTAGTAAAGACGAACCCGACGGCGGGTCAGGCGTGGGAGGAGGCCGCGCGCGGATCACTTACGGTAGTCTGGTTCATGTCGTTAGCAGCCTGTTTGTCTCAAAGCTAGAGTTATCTCGGGGCTCGCGCCAGGAAGCTGAGACATACCGAACTTGGCGGTGAAGAGCACCCATTTGTTGAAGAGAATGACGCTGGAGCTCAGGCCAATCCATAGTCTGAAGCGCGGGGCATTAGCAACTCCGTTTCGTCAGGGCCATCGAGAGTTTTGGGGCGGATTGTTCTCGTACGCGATGTAGAAGGCCGGATGGATGCTTCGGGCAGGCGGCGCTGAGGGCACCCCGCCACTCTCAAGCTTGCGCTCGTCGTTACTAGGATTGCCCATGGTGTGTGTCGTCGAGAAAGGGAAGGATGAAACGAGTGAAAGACCAAGACGTCTAGTCAAAGAGTCGAGTCGGTGCGTGCAGAGGTCGGAAACCAGACGGTCGAGGCGCTGCTAAGCCTAGATAGAGGACGGTTCAAGTGAGTATAGAAAGTTGTACAGGACGTGGGAAATATTGTCGAGGGAAAATAGGGACAGGGACACCAGATTTTGATTCGAGAAATTATGTATTAACCTACGACTTGGACCAAGATGCAGATCGGTACTTGGTCAACAATATGTAAAGTGCAGCACTAGGACGTACCTGTCGCTTTACACCACTCTCCACTATCAGCGTTCCTTTTTCGGGTCTCAGAAACCCACCCAAGTCGAATAAGGCTAATCTTGTGCAGGCTTTTATGGCGACGATAAGGTGCCCCCCTTGGCAGAAGGCACGCCTGGCCCGCCTGCATGCCTGGGTCGGTGTGTCCCGTACAGGGGTAGAAGGCTAGGGGCAGCCTGAAAAGCCTACCTAATGCACGGACCCGCCAAGAGTTAAATGAACGGGAAATTGGATTTTCTGTCCACTCTTCCACTTGTCCCGCTTCGACGTCAGATAATAGGCCAGACGGCCCAGACCAATGGACAAACCAAGCCCAACAGATAAGCCCTTTCCTCCCCACGTGCTGTTAGCGCTACTCAGCGCTGACCCATTCCGGCTAGCTGGCTTGACTGTTTCATCCCTCTTCTGCCCGCCTTTCTCATTGGAAAAGGGGCTGTTCTGTTTAGGCTCTTCTATGCCATACACCGTCCGCACAGGGGCAAACGGTATACACACAGTATGCAAAGAGACCTCGACCAGGCTGTGGGACAGAGAGCACCAATAATGACAACAACCTGAGTCTTGCTACCATCTCATGTGCTTCATGACGCGTCAGCCTTGCAGGTCTTCCTTCAAGCCGCAAGGTAGCTGCGGTTTTTCTACAAGACACGCACGTGTTAGAAAAGGGTTTAGGAATCGATGCTTTTACCTTGCGTGTGCTATTAGCACATTCTTCCTGCCTTCCATTCGGGTAGGCCACGCAAAGCTGTTGCTGCTGTACGTATTACAGCATGTTTTTCTGGAACCTGGCTGCCGTAACTGTAGCCAGCGCCAAGTGTGGAGAATGCATTACATATTGCTTCTTCATCAGTGTCTAAAGAAGGGATGTTGTGACCAAGAGAATCACGTACGTCGGCTTGGTGCTTCCGTCCGCGTCGCGTCCGAAGGTAGGATGGGTAGGATGATATCCTCTCCTAGACTCCTAGTAAAGGCAAGCCAGATTCAACTCGAAACTGTAGAATATACACGCAGCCAAGTCTCTCATCACTAAGGTGACATTGGCCAAGTGATTATCAGTAGAGAAAGGGAGGTTTTGTTCCTGAGTTCCAGCTTGCAGCTATGTCAGAATTAGAACTTCGGGATCATGCATTCCACGCACAACATTTTCCTTACGCCATTAAGAGCCGCCGCAAAAAAAAAGAGAGAGTAGAGTAAGTGTATCACAAGGGTGATATAAGAATTGATAAAAAGTACAAAAGAAAAGGAATGCCCACTACTGGAGTCGAACCAGTTGCCTCCTCATGGCGCTATTCTTTTGAACAGGTACTAGTGAGGCGCTCTACCGGTGAGCCAAGCGGGCTTGTAATTTGATGGAAAACCTGGGTTGTAATAGGACTCATGACTATCTCGGAATGGACAGTGCGTAAACAACAGCCATAAAAACCAAGCACAAGCAAGCAAGCAGGGTTTGCTCTGTAAAGCAATTCAAAACATTATAGAGTATTGGCAAATAGTACTGTACAATAAACAACACTTGCACGTGGGCTAGCTGGGAAGCTGGGTAACGGTTTGATGGATGGGATAAATCTCGAAAAAAAATAGGGGACAGGCCGAGATAGCCTCTTGGTTGAGAAAACACGATACAGTCCAACCAATTTGCATCAAAGCTGTGCTACTATTGGCAGCACATCTTTCCTAACACAAGGTCTAGGTTTCAGGGCAACATAAGTACTTAGATATACTGTATAATGCGTTACTCCATTCAAATTCCCAGATTGGAAGGGACTCGAGGCATTCTCCAAGCTTGCCTTCTCATGTTTGGATTGCGGAGGGGTGCTGGGCGTCAGGGTTAAGCCGCAAATAACCCCAGTGCTTGACAACAATGGACTGTCAAGGGCCAAGAAAGGTTGTAGATTTGCATCTACAGCCAGAAATTCGGCAGCCTTGTCCGTTAGTAACATAGACAGACTACCAACTCTCAAGTACGAATAGGGTCACAGAAAACAATTGCCAGAAACGCCAAAGGGGATCTAAACGGTAAAGTCTTGGGGCCGCTCCCTGGAGATACTGCATAAGGCAGCACAAAACCGAAAAGACACTCTGCCTATAGTACAGTGGAACCGCGTTATGCTCACCCAGCACGCAGTTTGAAGTCCCTCGAACCAAGATGTGTGTGTCCTCTGTATGCCCTCCTTGCGTATCTCTCAGGTGAGCGGCAGCCCTGCAATAATATCGCTAGCTAAAAGAAGCTACTCATAAGCATGCCCATCGGCTTCGCTAGCGTATTCGTCTCATGGAGGTTCCAGGCCAGGGACGGCGTCGTTCCTATGCGCCCTTCACGTCGCCGACCGGCCGAGAGGACCCCACGATGGGACTTCCAATCTCCCCGGGAGCACCGATGTTGCGCGAGAACGGACCACGACCGAGGCCACCGCCTGGGTCGAAGCGAATAGCAACCTTGTCAAACATATCACGCCGCACATCGAAGCTACCACCACCGTTTTGCGCATTGCCCTCTGTCTCGCAGAATTCCAGAAGCTCGCGCTGGTCTATGGGGTCCGTTGTGGAGGTGTTGATGGAATCAATGTGGCCTTTGATGAGGGAGAGGTCAATATAACCTGAGCCATCCGCCGCACGAGCCTCGAGCTCTTTGCAGGCCCGGACGAGCAGTTGACGAACAAAGACTGACCGAGGTTGGGCTGGTCTTGTTGGCATGGTATGCGGACTTCCGAATGCTGGGTTAGTAGGCGGCCAACCGGCGTTGCTGGGGCTATGCCCGAAACCCGGAGGCGGCAGGAACATAGCCGGCGTGCCCCAGGCGGTTGAGGGCGATCCGAAGTTCGCGCTCATGTAAGGCGCGCCAGCAAATGGAGGCCGGGTGCCTGGCGCAGTAGTGCTAATACTCCGGCGAGGCGTATTCAACTGCTCCAATAGAGGGTCATCTGCATCATCTAGAAGCGCACTGCTGCCGAGTTGCTCACTAAGGTCGTCGACGGATGCTGACATATCCTGGCTCCGCCGGTCATGGGTGACACTATCCGGTCGCGCAATTGGTGCTGGCTTGCCAACTGGCTGATTACCGGGGAATGAAGTCGAGTCGAAGGGCGAAGAAGTCGACCCTTGGCGCGAGTGCGTTATGGGCTGCCCGGGTACGGTGTCTGGCGAGAAGGCCTGATGTAGCCCCGGCAGATGTGCATCTGTCACTGGCTGAGAGAACCCCGGAGGAGGCATGTGGAACGGTCGCCCGGCCATGGGTGCACCACCCAAGCCCGGAGGCGGTTGCGGCAGGTTGGGTGGGCGGAATTGCCCGGCCATGGGAGGAAACATGTGCTCGTGCATCCGTGGATAGCTGTGACTCATAGGCGGAATCCCCAGAGGCACTTGCATTCCCATTGGCTGCATGCCCATATCAAACGATCCATGTGGGATGCCTGGAGGACTCTTGGTAGCGGTATGCTGTGGTGGTGAGATTGGCTGCGTAAGAGGCACAGCCGGAGCCGCCTTGCTCGAGGGCCCGATCTGACCTGGGCTCAAGCGCAGAGGGCTCTGAGCGTGTGGCGATGCTGTCAGGCTCGGGCCGGATGCCGAGTGGGACGCCTGCGAAAACGACCGCGCAACATCTTGGGAAACTGACCGGGGCTTCATTGGGGTGTGGGCTATTGGCAAGGCCGGCGTGGCGATCGGGATTTGCGGCGAAGCATAACTCGCAAGAGGTTGGTGTGGAAGAGCAGGTACCGAGACCGGGTGCTTCTTGGCAGGCTGAGTCGGAATAGGGGCGGCCACCGCAGGAGGCTTCACTGTCGTCTTTTCTTCCTGCTTCATCTTTTCCTTGGCCTCCCGCTCGGCCTTGGCTTGAGCAGCCCTCAGCTCCTTCTCCCGCTTATCCTTCTCATGCTTTTCGCGCCTCTCGCGAGTCTCGCGTTCCTTAATCTCGCGTGCTTCTTGCTCTTTCCGCCGTTGCTCTTCCTTCAGCTTCTTCTCGCGCTCTTTGGCCTCACGCGCTTTTCGCTCCTGTTCAGCTTGCTTTTCCTTCTGCTCATGCGCCCGTCGCTGTTTCTCCGCTTCTTTCCGCAAGCGCTCTTCCTCCTCGGCTTTCCTCTGCGCCTCCTTCTTCCTGCGCTTCTCTTCTGCTTTTGCACGGACTTCCTCTATTCGTCTGGCCTCCTCTGCTAACCGGGCTGCCTCCTCGGCAGCCTTTTCAGCCTCACGCCTGGCCTTTTCTTCGAGAATGGCCTGCTTTTTCTGGAGAGCCTTCTCCTTCCGCTTCTGCGCATCCTTGGCTTTCTTGGCTTTGCGTTGAGATTCTTGGTCTTCCTCTTGCGCCAGCTCTTCTAACAGCTTCTCTTGGCGCTCCTTTGCGACCTTTTCTCGGTAAGCAGTCAGGACTCTCTGCTCGAACATCCGGGCGGCGAATATTTGAAACATTCTACGACCCTCCTCCATTCGCTGCTCTTCGGTCATCTGGTCCTATATCATCATCAGCGCATATTTCGAACCAGAGAACTCCGCTGCATTACCTCTTCTTCCTCATAATCATCCTCCTGGCTCTCATACTCCTCGTCCTCCTCCTCTTCCTCATCGTACTCTTCTTCTTCAGGAGGGACATGGGTATGTGCAGTGGACAAGCCGCCATTAGCGTTGTGGCTATATCCAGTGGTATAGTGAGTGGCATCCTCTTCCCGGGCCATCCTGCGCTCAGCCAATTGTTCCATCATCTCGATGAACTTTTTCCCGTCATTCTTCAACAGATCGTCGGCTACCGTGAGAATGCCACCTAAACAGGTTAACACAAGCCCACGATGACTGCAAGCAGCTGAGGATTCCGGGGGCTTACCCTTCACCGTTAAGCTCTGGCCAAAGTTGAAGAAGTCGTTCGGGTAAGGGTCTCTCGGGATTTCCTCCGGCTCCTCCTCTTCCTCCTCCTCTTCCTCATCTTCCAGATCCTCCTCATCACTATACTCCTCCTCGCCGCCCTCGACATCTTCTTCGTCATTATCCACGTGTTCCACAATGCGGCCACGTGAAGGATGATGATTTGTATACCTGGACGGCATCACACCCGGTGGATGTAGCCCGCTTAAGGGGCCAAATCGCTTAGGTGTGAACATGGGAGGGCCATGGGGATGGCTATGAGGTTGATTGGCAAATGACTCGAGTTCCTGATAATAGGCGTCGTAGAGACCTTCTAGCTCTTCCTCAATGGCCGTGCGTTTACGGCCACAGACTGAGCAGCTGCAGGTATGCTTCTGCTGTTCCTTCATCTTACGAAGGACAGCATCCTTCTCCACTTTCACCAAGGACTTTCGCTCATCTTCGCCCAGTCCCAGCCAAAACTGCTTGATCCGCTCCCGCTCCTCTGGACCTGAAGTATTCCATATCTTTTCTCGGGATATGCCGGAAGGACGGGGAGGCTCAGGGTCTGAAGCAGGCTCCTTTTTCGTCTTCTTCTTTTTCTTAGACTTCTTGGCCTTTTGCGCCGAGCCGTTAGCCGTGGCGTGTTGGGGATCCCTCGCTGAATCGTCGTGATGGCCATCGTCGCTCTCCGTTTCTTCGCCCCAGTCCTCACCGTTATACTCGCTGTCTCTAGATGGAATCGACTCGGTAGCGGGCGGGCGTTGCGGGGCATCTGGAAGTATCTTATTCGCGGCTGAGGAAGCGGGTAGCTGTGCGCTTGCTGTTGATGCTGGACTTGGAAGACCATTACTACCAGAGAGCTCTTTTTCGGCGGCAGCTTTCGCGGCGGCCTTTGCCCGTCGTTTCTGTTTCTTCTTATTCACCGTTGCAGGAGGCTGAGTGCTGGCTGAAGCCGGACCAGTGGTCGGTGTAGCGCCTCTCGAGGACGGGGTGGCCGTTGGCGAGGGTTGGGCCGGTGGAGTAGATGCTGAAGACTTGGGTACAGATATGTATTTGGTGCCGTCCTTATTCGTATATTTGGCTGTGGCCTTGGGGGTTGCGGCCGGAGACGCAGCTGCAGGTGCAGCAGCCTGGCGGTTGTTTTGGGCAGGCATTTCGGGAAGACTGCGACTATGACATGGACATGCCCGGGTGGTGTAGAAGAGAAGGGACGCGAAAAGCCGGCGTGGTGGGAATGGTTATAAAACAATGCGACTTAATGTCGGACCTCGAGCACAACTGGCATTGGTGGGGGGGTCAAGTTGCTGGAACCGCCACTGTTCGGGTTGGGAAAAGCTCTATGGCAGGCACGTTTGGGAAGCAGCAAACACGGGACCATTGATTGGCGTCAGCGAGAGCCTTGACGCGGTGGTGGTAGTCGGCAGTACCTCGCAACCGAGACGAGTGGAAAAGTGGCCGTTCCGCTCCGTGGGCGGTTGTCACAGCAGGTTTCAACAGGCTGGGTTT